CAGCCGATGTTACGGCACACACGGTTTTCACATCGATGTATCACACGCGTTGTATTTATATTTGCGCAGGATCTTATTGTGTGTATCTTGTATCGCCGTCGTTGTGCGAGTGTGCCGTCAGGCGCCCCGTTCGTGTCCTGTTGGGGACCTCGGGTCGATGTTTTGAAAATGAAACTTGTATCTCTGGGTCTACTCGACTTCTCATCTGGTTACGTGGAACACAATAAACACGCGCTGGCATAGGATAACGGAAGATTATTATTGTTGTATGACATTATAACCTCATTTGCACCGGAGTAGATTAAGTTAATTTCTTGCAAAAACCCCACATATCAATAGCGCCTATATCATGGAGCCCGTGGTTAAAGCGCTCTGGGAAAAATTACACACACACCTCACCACACATACACACACACACCTCACCTCACACACACCACATACACACCTCACACACACCACATACACACACACACCACACCTCACCTCACACACACACCTCACACACACCACACACTCACCACACACACCTCACACACACCACACACACACCTCACCACACACACCTCACCATACACACCTCACCATACACACCTCATCACACACACACCACACATCACACACAAGGCCCAAACTATCACCCGTGCTTGCACAGCGCCGTTTTGGATACTGCCTAAGATAGTCTCACACACACATCGCTAACCTTACGTCACACACACATCCTCATCACACACATCACATCGCTAACCTCACGTCACACACACATCACACACACACACATCACACACCGCACATCTTACACACATCACATACACATCACATCGCTAACATCACATCACACACACATCCTCATCACACACACATCCTCATCACACACACAACACACACATCACACACACAACACACACATCACACACCTCATACATCACACACACCTCACACACATCACACACACCTCACACATCACACACACATCACACACACATCACACACACATCACACACACACACATCTCACACATCACACACACATCACACACACATCACACACACACACATCGCTAACCTCACATCACCCACCCACGTCTAATCCACCGGGGGTGTTTCTGAAACGAGAGCGCCACGCTACGCTGCTCGTGGCCGCAGCAGCAGCAGCAACATCCGTCCTGCAGGATCATCTCTGACGAGCATCTTGTGTTCGTTTGGTTTTGTTCAACAGTGGAGCGGCACTGTTTGTGTTGTTTCTTTAGAATGTACCTCACATGTATGGATACTTACGCACGAGCCGTGCTGCCCAACATGCTGGTTTCCTACTCAACGTTGGGTCAAGATCGGCACGAGGTTGGAACCGTTGGAGCCAATGTTGACCCAACGCTGATGCAGCAACCTCATGTCCACTGGGTTCCTCCCAGAGGTGTGGACTCGAGTCATGTGACTTGGACTCGAGTCAGACTCGAGTCATGAATTTGATGACTTCTGACTCGACTTGGACTTGCATAACAATGACTTTGTCCCACCTCTGAGGTGTGGACTCGAGTCATGTGACTTGGACTCGAGTCAGACTCGAGTCATGAATTTGATGACTTCAGACTCGACTTGGACTTGCATAACAATGACTTTGTCCCACCTCTGGTTCCTCCTCCCGAGTTGTAGCCACCACAGGGCGAGCGAGCGAGCGGCTCGCAACCTGGAGTTGTGCGAGTCCAAATCCCGGTTAAGGAGGTCGACTCAGCCCATCATTATCATCATCATCCCCTCCTTCTGGGGGGGTCGATAACACGTGTAACAATTTGTGGGGAAGTTAGGGGTGGTTATCCTTTGGTTAGGCTCACTCCGGCCATAGTAATGTGGAATTTCCGCCACTGGCGCGTCGCTTTTAAACGAGAGATGAGCAACAGCCCTCGGGACACCACGCTGACCGCTCTGGTTTTGAGTCGAAGAGATTTCTCAAATTTCATAACCGCAGTTTGTAGATTAGCGAGGCGACGATTATGGTGGTGTCTAATGGATGACGACGCGTGGACGTTGTTATTTTTTTACATTGAAATTTGCTTTGCAGAGTTCGTGCCCAGCAAGGTCCCCACTGCCGGTCACCATTTGTTTAAGTGACCTCGGCCTGCTACAATTTGGTGCGCAGGCAATGAAAGGTTGTGTGCCGTGCACCATTGCTGTCCATCTGCAAGCAGTGTGTTCACGCAACTATGCAGCAGCAGCAGCGGCAGCAGCGGCATGAGCCACATGGAATATCGAGATACACTCTAGATGCATTGGCCCTCGTCTGATTGTCGGAATCGGGATCTTTATTTATCCCCGGAGGAATCCGATGAGCCGTGAAGCTCTTTTTTCAACAGATGCCCAGCGTCTACGCGGTATGGCGTGCGCGCGTGTGTGTGTTGCCCCACACAGGAAGACATTTACAGGAATCTCAGCGAAGGTTGGTACACGGCTTGTACTGTGTAAGCGAAAGCCACCCGTGCCTCTGCGTGCGTGTGTATTTTCCCCGAACAAACACACACACGCGCGCGCGCACACACACACACTCCTCAAAACACCATCTCACTCCCCCACCACCACCTCCCTCTCCTCTGCCTGGTGGGCCCCCACCGCCACCGAAGCACGAAGCCCCGGACTGGGCGAGGCGACCCCGACACTCACGGCGGGCGACGCGAGCCCATTGGCTGCGTGGCGATCACCCCATCCCGTTCGTACAAAGGGGAGCGCTGGTCGGGGGGAGTGGTCGCCGCGGCGCGCAATGTGCATCACGCACCACGCCAGCCGCGCTCCCTCGCTCGCTTCGCCTTCGCTGCACGCTCCCCCCACCCACCCACCCTCTCTCTCTCTCTTCCTCCTCTTGCTCTCTCAGCCGTCAAGAGCACAGATTGTTTTTGGCCGTGACCGAGAACTTGGGAATCTTAAGGGGGAGAAAAAATCGTTAAAATTCAACGAGGGAGGGAATTGCACTTAATGAAGATTTGGTTTTTTTAAATTCTAAACTTTAAATGAAACCATTCTCGGTGTGAGATACTGCGCGAAGACATTGGCACCTGGAGGTGAGACCTACACTTGGAGAATGCGCGGGTGTTGTTGTTGTTGTTGTGGACGTGTTGTGTTCTTCACACACACAGGTACACGTGAGTACAAGGTCGTCGTGCTTCACAGCGGCACGTGCGCGCGCGTGTGCGTCGGTTTAAAGCGCACCTCGCCGAAGACCAAAAACACCTCCTCGTCCGTCGCTCCTTTCCGCCGATTTATTTCTCCTCCGCGTCGCTCAGAAATAATTCGCTTCTGTGTTTTGCTCGCGTGCGATTTCGCCGCGCAAATTTTTTTTGTTTGTCGTTACATTTTTTATTTCTCGTCGTCGAACGCGCGAGAGTGGAGCTCTCCGAGACTCGCGAGGTGCAACAGCTGTCACCGGAGCCGAGTTCGGCGCGCTCGGTGCCAAACAGAAACAGCGGTGGCCTCGCTCCCTCCCTCCCTCCCCGGTCGCTTCGCTCGAACCCCGGCGGGGTCGAGAGCCTCCCCGGGACTTGGGTGTCGTCGGGACGATGCGGGAGCTGCGTTCGTTGCCTGCAGCCAACTTCTGCGATGAACGCGTCGCGTTTTAGGGCTCGTACGGCGCGAGCGAGCGGGGGGGGGGGGGGAGTGGGGGCCGCGTGTCGCTTGGCGAGCTGGAATGCCTCGCTTGCGTGCTCGCTCTTTCACCAAAAAGATTGTTCAGGTTGCCAACAACAAAACTCAAATGCATGCAAGAGATGGGGGGCGAGGGGCGGTGGGGGAGCTTGTGACGTCTTATTAATGCGCATCTAATTTGATGAATAGCCTCAAAATTAGTTAAGTCCGCTTGTGGAGAAAGCCCACGATCGATATGAGAGATGAATCTAACTTCAAGTATAAAGGGGAAAAAATAGTTGTTTTTGGGGGGGGGGGGGCGATTAAAACATGACCGTGCGTAGCCGAACATTTAAATTGGACTATCTGCGACACGTGCATTTGCCACCCAAAAGTCAGAGTACGTGGATACAAAAATTTTTTGTTGTCAAAGTGAACTTCGATTACATCCAACACTTAGTAGCTGCACGACATCCACAACGAAGTGCACAGTCCCCCCGCGCAACAACGTCGGGTGGGTGATGGTGGTGGGTGGGAGGGAGGCCGTTCTCGGGGCCACCTTTGTTGGGACTCCTCGATTTTATTCCGCGGGGCTTCTGGCGGAACGAAGCCCCACGGCAGCCGTGCCCCCCCCCCACCCCCTCGCCGTGCTCCATCGAGAAGAGACCACGACGACGGACGTGGCGTTGTCTTCGCACCGCTAATTTTACCCCCCGCATGCCCGCCCGCAAACGCCGCTCCGAATCCGATCTCTGCGCGGCCCCATTCCCCCAGCGAGCCCCAGCGCCGGCCGCTCCTAATAGGGGAGTGGGGGGGGCGCGTCTTGGTCTCTCCGGCGCTCGTAAACAAATTCTTGTTTTCGCCTCCCGAGCGGACGGCAAGCTGGGGAACCTGCCGGGCATTGCTCGGGAGGAGGAGCGGGGAGAGGCGCCGAGCTGATTTAGGGAGCTGGGCGCGTGTGGGTGTGTGGGGGGTGGGGGTGGGAGAGTTTTTAGTGTCGGAGAGGGGGGCCCTGGCTGAGCTCAGGGGTGTCGTGGGGCCAAGCGACGGGAGAGCTTTTAGAACGTTCGCGATACGGGCCCCACGTGCTCCGTGCGGCCGGGATGGGCAAACTGAGCCACGCTGCAAAGGGGTCCCAGGCCGTGTAGGGAAGATGGGTGGAGGTGGTTTACGATTTGCTACGTGCGAAGCCTGGGAGTTAGAAGCCAATGTCGTCAAAATAATAATACCGGTGAGCATTACAACAACAACATGATCGGCTCGTTTGATACCGTGGAGGGAATATTTTGCGGTCCGCTTAGTCTGAATGTGAATGTCTCCGTTGTCAGCCATTGGAAAATCAAGATGTAAGTTAGAGTTGTGCAGAGTGATGTAAGAAACAAAACAGAAAAACCACGCTTTGAACTCATTCATATAATTGCCTTATTTTATTTGTACTACTTGGGCGGCATCGGTGAAGATTGGGTGGCGAAATTAACCGAGGGGGGGGGGGCGAAGACCTCGGCGTGCGGCACGCAGACGCGGGGCAGGACCCTCACCACAGCACCGCCTCGCATCTCGTCGACGGGCGCACCTTTCTTGAACCCAGTTTATTCCACGGCACTGTGGCCTCTCCAGCTCATTCGCTCACCTTTAACCACGTCCCAAAAGACGCCCGCAAAGTTTGGTCTCCTTTACTCGGCCAAAGCCGGAGACTCCTCTCACGTTCTCTGGCGCGTGATGTCCTTGACCCGCCTCCAATGGGCCACCCCCCTTGCAAAGCAAATTCTAGTCAAAATAAATGTATAAATTGTAGTACTTCAAAATATCGCCATTTCGTATTTTCTAAAGTATGATTTCTCAGAGCAGCAAAGCACCGTGTGCTGTAATTGAATAGCTAAGTGGCAATTACGCTCAGTTTATCATTTGAAGTCGTTCTTGCGAACTTTGAAACAAGCAATCATCCCCGCAGGGAGGCGATAGTTTAAACGTAATCTGTGTGCCCTGCTCCATTTGCTATTTACCGCGTTAATCTCACAACTCGCATTGATAAACGCGTTCAGAAAGAAAATAAGAAAAAACTGTCAATTTTTAGAAATTTTTTTAAAAGAAAGCCCAGTTACAATTATAGAACAAACACTTTGTTAGAGATTTTTTTGGCTCAGATCACCACGTGAGAAAAAAATGTACAACGTGTATCATGCACCCCCTCCACCCTGCCCAGCCAAGCAAGTAGAATAAATGCGGTAAAACATTGTGTTTTGTTTACAGCATATAACTCAACAGTGGCAAACTTGCGTCTCCATTGTTGTCCTTATCCCGCAGCTCCGGTTAACACGATTGGCTACGTACGGTGCGAAAGAAGTTCAACATTCATACATACATACTGCCCATAGACTAACACTGCCCATAGCCTCAACACTGCCCATAGACTAACACTGCCCATAGACTAACACTGCCCATAGCCTCAACACTGCCCATAGACTCAACACTACTCATAGACTCAACACTACTCATAGACTCAACACTGCCCATAGACTCAATACTACCCATAGACTCAACACTGCCCATAGACTCAACACTACTCATAGACTCAACACTGCCCATAGACTCAACACTACCCATAGACTCAACACTGCCCATAGACTCAACACTACTCATAGACTCAACACTGCCCATAGACTCAACACTGCCCATAGACTCAACACTACCCATAGACTCAACACTGCCCATAGACTCAACACTACCCATAGACTCAACACTGCCCATAGACTCAACACTGCACCTCCGATTAGCACAGTTGGCTACGTACGGTGCGAAAGAGATTCAACAAACATTTGCCGCCGACACGCGCATCTCAAGTGTCCTTGTGCCTCGTTCCGCTTCGAGGTCCTTGCACACAAGCCCCGTGTTGCTCACGCGGTCGCTTCATCGCCACTTTTGCCCGCCGCTGATGTTACGATGCACAACTTTGATTTCCCACCCAATTAGCTCGATTTTGAGATTCCTGCGACGATTATTCTCGGCTGAGCGTGCCCATCAGAGCGTTCGCTCCGTGTTTTTTTAAACTGCACGGTTCAACGTAGCCGCCGTCTAATTCGCCGCACGTTTTTATTTCGCGACCCTGCCTCGTCTCGATGCTCGTCGACAACCACAGCCGCCTCGATGAACCCAAATGTTTTCAGTTTCCAACAAAAAAAATAATAATGATGAAAGTGAATCCGTGACGGTCCTCGTCTATGAGAATAAATCTCGTCCTGAAAATGGCGCCTAAACTCCCAGTCACGCCATCTGCTGCTGCTGCTGATGCTGCAACCAGCCACCCCATAACAGCACCTCCACTAAGCAGGCTGCCCTCATTTGACCCGTCACGCGTCGGCCCGTTACAAAGCCTCGATCATTTTTGTTCATTCTCAAAATACAGATCCATATATATATGAAGTATACGCAACCCGTTACTTTCACACCGTCGACAATGGCTGAACTCCACTGCCAAAGACATTACGGGACGTACGATCCGGGAGTCGTGTTCCTTGTACCAACGGTGCTCGCCGCCGTGACCGCTTTAGACTGCCGATGGATTCTCTTCTAAACGTTCGCGTCGTTCGAGTCGCACGCACATGGCTGCTCTGGGTTTCGTCGGGGGGGGGGGGCTGCTCCTCACGCCGACATGCCAACCGAGCACCGCCGTGGTGCATTGTAGTTGCATTGCATGCGCCGCCAGCATCAGAGGTGCAATGCACTTGCAGTGCAGTACGGAGGCGTTCACAGAGTTGGTGGCTCACAGAGACGGCGCCCAGCTCGTAAGGCGCCGCTCAACGATCGGCGTTCTTCGTCTGACCGCCCTCGTGGTTCACCCTCCTCGTAGCGCACCGCGCAGAAGGCACCTGGGGATGCAGCGTCGACAAAGAGACGACTCCCGCGTCGCGTCACATCAACCGCTAGCATCGGTCGAAAGTGTTTTTGTTGCTGTTGAGAATTCTTCTTTCGTATGGCTCTGTAAAATTTGCGACATTCTATATACGTGCGTGCGTGCGCGTGTGTTGAGGTTACTAAGTCGTCCGATAGCCTTTGCGGAGGCTTGGTGGGAGCAAGATGGCAACGTTCATGCGGGGCTCCTGCAAAATGTCTCTCTCGCTCTGAGCAACGCAGAGTGCGACAACACGAGCGTTGGTCGTCATCTGGCTACGGAACGTCGACCCAACGTCGTGCGTTCAGTAAGAATAACAACGCTGCAGGCTCTATAACGGAGACGAGCGGACGTAGGGATATGTCCGAACAGTGGTCTGTCCCGTACAGATGAAGAAAAAACCGATCTATCCCCTAACTGAGAGTTATACTGCTCTAATGAAGTTGTATTTGCAGGGACACGTGGGTCCACGCCTCGTGCACAGGAGTTGCAAGATTCACCATCGGTTGATGTGCACGGGTAAACTTGACGATACGCGTGCATGCCATCGTGCGGGAATGTTTTTCGATTTGTATTTGTGGTATCGGTTTGTGTGACCTTTAGTGGCCACTGCAGGCTGCTACAAATGACAGTTACTAAGATAAGGCAATGAATCCTCGAATTGAACCGTGATAATGGAATCGTAAGGAGTGTAATCATCACACTCCTGATCATAAACGAATAATATGCACATCGCAGTATGTACGCTCACGCTGCTTGCAATGTAATTTAGTTTTCATCGTCGCACGTACAATGATAAAGATGCACAACTACACACTTCAAGTTGTCTGTGCGAGTGGAATTCAAATAAAGTCACGTTTTAAAACGTTACTGGGTTGTGTGACATTTTTGAATGCCTGTAAAAAACAAATCATCAACATCTATTGCTGCGCTCTGAGTGAGCCCTGGGAGGTTTCACGAGGTACAGTGCAACGAGGGGACCAGGCCACGACATTCCTGAGACTTTTTTGTAAATTCCATTCTCAAGAATTAGAATGACCCTGAGCGGAACATTTGCTCCTAAAGGTGGAACCAGGACACAGCCTTGCGGGATTAAGTGGGGCGGTGGCACGGCCCGGCCCGGCGTTCGCCGCTCGTCATGAGGACATTCACGATTGGCAACCGGCGGGCTGCCCCGATTAATACTGCGAGTGTAGTGATAACACAGCACCACGCGCCGCCTGCTTCGCAGTGGCCTGACGCCACTCGCAAGAGGAGGCCATTGTGTGCCGGGGTCATGGTCCAAATGTAAAAGTCACCCATTAGGTTCGTACGTAGGAATCGTCGCCTCCCAAATATCAGATTAATGCCCCCAAAGTCACTCTTGCAAATGAAACTATCCCGGTCTGTCGAGTTCTCACTTGGTTAAACGAAATAAACTTGAAAATGATCTTCCCACGTACGTTGAACTTCTTTTGCGCCGTACGCGGCTATCCGTGCTAATCGGACGTGCGGGGTAAAGACAACAAACCAACGCACAAACAATGAAATGTGGCAGTATAAAGTGTCGATGAAGACCACATCTCAAGACGCTCTACCACAGAGGGGCGGGGGGTGGTGGGGGGAAACTGCGGGGCAGGAGGCCGCAGGGCAGAGAGGATACAAAAAAACGACCGCCGGAGCGGCGAGAGCCACGCCACGTCGCGGGGATCCGCTCACCCCACGCTCGGGCCGGACCGCGAGCCCTTACCCGTGAAGTAATAATCACAGTTGAGCAGGGGGCACTTGTGGCTTTGGAGGGCGTAATCGTAGCAGAGCCGCACGCTCTTCGGTCGGTTCAAAGAGCCGGACCCGACACCCAATTCCCGCAGGGTGAGGCCCGGAGAATCCTCTAGCGGCACGAGCGCGAGCTCGTTGCCGCAAAGAGCCTCCGTGGCGGCGATGGCGCCCTGCGGCTCGCGGGCCGAGGGCCGGGCGCTGTCCGCGTGGGGCCGGCGGTCGAGGCGGTAGAGGCGCACGGCGGTGCTGGGGGTGTGGGCGAGGGCACGCAGCGAACACGCCAGCCCGTGCAGCGTTGTGCCGGCGCCCGCCAGCACCTTCACGTGGCCCGGGTGGGACGCGGCGCCATCGAACGGCACCAGCCGCACCTCCAGCTCCACGAACCTTCGGGCACACGGAGAGGCGCGGTCAGGAGCGCCGCTTTCGTCATACGCGGCAAAGGTGCAGCCCTGAATTTCCCTTGCTACAGCCACTGCTGCCAGGAGGGCCTCCACGAGAGACCATCCCAATATTGTACTTGTGGTATCTTCATCTCGTATGTACATGTGTCTACATGTCGTATCTCGCCATCTGTTGTCCTTCCCCCGCACCTCCGATTAGCACGGTAGGCTACGTACGATGCGAAAGAAGTTCCACATACACACACACAAATACACACTCACATGCACACATACACACACACATACACACACACACATACACTCACATGCACACATACACACACATACACACACACATACACTCACATGCACACGACGGTGTCTCGCTGCCATATTTACCTGTCGTCCTCCACCTGACGAGGCTTCCAAACCCCCATTTTGCAATGTGGACACCGCTCCAACGTTTCCTTGGTGACCGTCAGCCGGTGGCCGTCCGTTTGTCCCTCCTTGTCAGTCTCATCATCATCATCATCCTCCTCCTCATCATCATCCTCCTCCGCTCGCTCGCTCTCTGCCCGCTCCGTCCAGCCGTGCTTCTCGCCGTCACGCGGTTCTGGAACCCTGGCCGCAAGTCAAGGGGACCGTCACATGAAGCTCGCCAACGAGAAAGCCGACACGGGACGTGTGCGTACACGGGACGTGTGCGTACACGGGACGTGTGCGTAAACGCCGCTCATTACCGTGTGTACGCACGTTGAACTACTTTAGCACGATGCGTAGCCGACCATGCTAACTGGAGGTGCTTTCAGATGCACTTCGGCGGCCGTCTGGAACGCTCTTCCTTCCGATATTAGAAAGCCACCGGACCTATACACTTTTAAATTATCTAGCTTAAAAACTAATTTTAAAAAAAATGCGTTTTGTGTTTAGTTCGTTGTCCTACGCATAGTGCGAAAGAAGTTCAACATACATCAAGTTGATGCATTCCCTTATTGGTTGAAGACGACAATGAACCTGGACAAATGGCAAATGAACACACACACGCACAGGATGTCAACCGGCATGCAGTGCGCAGGGGGGGGGGCGCGAGGGGGGGGGAAGCGGTGGGGGGGGACGCAGGGGGGGGGTCGTTACCCGGGGACGTGGAGCCCCGCGCCCAGCGAGCGGTAGTCCACGGAGCCCGTCGAGTGCGGGTCCAGCAGCTTGGTGAGGACGTGGAGCCGGACCGCGTCGCACGGAGCGCCAAAGTTACGCAGCGCTGCTCCAGCCACCGCCGCCCAAAATACAAACAAACAAACGGACAGTTGGTCATGGAGGCCTCGTTGCAGTGCTTGGCTAATGGCAATTTGTATTTCTGTATCTATTGCAACGGTGTGAACAGCCGGAGCTGGATCGCCGCAATGAACCCGAGGCTTTCAGTAAATGTCAACGTGGCACCGAAAGTGTCTGGCCCAGGCGCCCGCGTAGGCGGGTGGTGACCAGAGACCTCTACGAGGAGGGGATCTTCTATCTGAAGACCTTCGAGTCAAGGTCACGGAGTTCAATGTCACAGTCTTCGAGCAAACCACCCGGAATGCCCCAGATCCTGACAGCAAAGCTGGGAAGCTAAGCCGGATCGAGCCTGGACAGCGCGTGTGTGAGCGGCCGCCGCCGTGCGCGCAGCAGAGCGGTGCAGTCGGCGTTGTGGGCAGCAGAGGTTAGCGCAGCTAACCTCTGCTGCCCACAACGCCCTATCCAAGTATGGCCAAATCCGCCCTCTCGGCGAGGGGAGGCCTTCGTCCGGCTCTGTGTACAGCGTCGCTGTCCGTGCATCTGGGACGAGGGCCACGCGTGGTGAAGCAGCCCCGACCCCCACGAGTCTGGGGGACGAGGGCCCAGCGGGGCAGTCGTGCGGGGGCCACCACAGCACGGATTCACGCCGCTATGGAGGAGAGTGAGCTCGGGGAACGGGAGCGGGGGGCAAAGGAGCGTGCGGTCGTGCGGGGGCCCGCTCCAGAACGCCCCTCCCGTCAGCGCCGGGCCGGACGTCGTCGCCGGCGGCACGGAGAGCCCCGGCCGCGGGCGTCGACTCACTAACGGGAGAGGGGCGAAGTCGCGCGGCGGACAAACCCCTCACCGAGTTTGAGGTCGGCGTGCGACACGGCGCCACCCTCCGCTCCGTCGTCTATCTTGCGCAAAGCGCGTGCGACGAAGGGCCCGTTCCTCCGCAGCCAGCGGTCGGCGGAGACGAGGAACTCGCGGTAGCTGTCCGGTTGCTGCTCAAACGCCGCGCAGGATTTCTCCAGCCTGGCCTGCCACGGCAACATCGGGAGCGGCACGATGCGATCCCACGATCGGGCAACGCGGCCGCCTGGTAGACGCGTCAACGTTGCCCCCCCCCCCCCCCCCCCCCACGACGTTGGCCCAACGTCGCGTGTTTACTGGGTGCGCGGATTGGTGCTGAAGGACATCACACTCGGCCTGCCCGAGACTGCATCCAAATGCGACCACCAAACCCCAAGGCCAGCAATTGCTATTTAAGACACCGTACATGACCGCAGTGTTTCCGTCATTGCAAACAATGTCAGAGTATTAGATGCCCCTGTGAAAGAATGCTACTCGTCGTAAATATAAAATAGTACATCCCATGGCATTCATTTACAGATATAATCTACCATGTGCCAAACTTACCACGAGTGATAAATACGATCACAGTAAAAACCTTTCGAAGCCAGACTAAGTGGGCAGGATGTAAGCCTCTCCAGAGATGGGGGCTGTCTAGCTTACTGCACATTCGTAAAATTGTTGCTCAATAAGTAGATTTGCATTTACCCAAGTTTCTAAGATTTTCAGCAGGACAGCAGATTCTAAGTGGGTGGCTGTTGGTTTATTAGTAAGTTGTGCCCTGGAATGGTTGACACTGCAATATAAGTTTCCCACTCGATGTTAGAACCCCCCTCCCCGACTTCCGGCAGTGGTGCCTGTGCACGGCTGTAATCCTACTTAGTAGAGGGACCGAGGGCTGATGGATCACACAAATGTAGGTGGAGCTGGCGTCGAGGAGGTTGCCGTGCCCAGGCTCGCCAGCGGCAGGCGGTACGGCAAGTGGACTCGTGCCACGTGTCCCTTCTCTGTGGGATAGAGTGTTGCCCCCTCGCACGTGTGGGATCTCTCCGGGCACTCCGGTTTCCTTCCACGCGTCTAAACACCCATTAGTCGGATGAAAATATCTGTGTAGAGGAGGTCGGCAGAGCTTGGGTAATCATCGCTAGTGGCGGCAGACAGCGGGGCAGCTGCCTTCCACCTCGTGTGCGGTGTCATCCACCGCCCTCCGAGTCGTCCTTTCTCTCTCTCTGAGAGTGAATGAGCACTGCGCAAGTCTAAATTATTCTACACACTGTTGTTGTTATTATTGTTGTTGTTTTTATTATTATTGTTGTTGTTGTTTAAACGACCTCGTTCACTCTTACCAGAGCTCTCTCCGACTTGGTAAGCTTCACTTTGCCTTTCCTCGACCTCTTCTTGCCCTTACCGGAGCCCGCGGGCCGCCGGGCATCCTCAGGGGCGGGCTCCGGGCGCTCGGACGCCACCTCGCCGTCCGGAGCTCCCGTCGGCGAGCTGGACGCGACAGGGGGGGGCGGGGGGCGGGGTGGCGACGTTCGTTCATCGAGCACTCAGCCACGGCAAAGCAGCCGCCCTTTTCAGGTGTGCGGGGCGTGCAACGCGGCACGTGTGGCACTCGCAGAGGCGTTGCGTGTGCTGTTGCGCACGGTGGCAATAGGTGGCCATGGCGCTGAATGCCATTGTGGAGGTCTCCTGCTGCTGCTGGCCACGGCGAGAGAGGGCTTCAGCAGAGAGGGGGAGGGAGGGCGCCTGGTGTCTCGTCGCCGTGCCTCCTCCTCCTGCTGCTGCTGCCCCGTTGAAGGGTCGCAGGCGACCTCACTAGGGGTTGACTCGGCGGCCCCACGGGGTGTTTGGGGGGTTGCGTGGTCACAGTCGCGCCGCTCTGTGTCGTTGTGTCTTTAACCTTCAGTCGAGAAGGGCGCGTTCTCAAGCAGGGGACCACGTGGTTGTGTGACGCTGCGCTGGCTGCATTGTGCCGCATGCCCACAGGACCGCAGTCTTCACACACAGTGCGCTGTGACCAGCAACGTTTTGTTATTGTCCTCTGAATTTAAATTTAGTTTATTCTGTCGTAACGATTTTTTTTATTCTTGAAGGCGTTATCTGTTTCTCGGTATTTACAATGACTGTGAGTATTTATATACCGGCCAATAAAAAAAATTTACATTTACAAACGCTATGGAGAAGGACCAGTACCAGAAACGTCACCGATTGTCTATGTTGTGCTTTTGAGGCCACGGCCTTGTTGCTCAGGACGACCGTGTGGAGTTGTCGCTGATTGTGCCCGGAGCCACAACAACTGCGAACGTCACAGCGGCAACATTCGTTTAAACATCTCCGTGCCGATGGAAAATCCATTTGGGAAGGTGCATCTCACTTCGGTGCGAGACGTGTGAGCTCCATTGACAATGCGAGTTAACGAAGCGCTCGTTTCACGCAACAGCAAGAAAGACACGTTCGGAAAAGTTCTGTGTGGGGAGCGGTGGCGCAGTGGTTAGCGCAACTTCGCTACGAATCAGGAGACCCGAATTCGATTCTCGCTAAACGGCCACCACCGGTGACGATAATTATCTGAACCGGTCCTGGGCCTCCCCCTCGGTCGACTCAACCCTCAAATGAGTACCTGGTGCGACGCGTAAACTTCGCCACGAGAGAGACAAAGACGGCCGGACGTGGTGCTGGCCACCCACTCCCTCGTATGCTGATCGAGGGCTTTCCCTAGGCCGCCTCAGCCTTAAATAAGTACCCGTTTCAGTGTTGTAATAAAATCAGCAATTGGGGAGACAAAGGCGGCCGAGCGTGGATCTGCCCACACCACCCCTCGCTGACGCCACTTTACCCGACAGCCTGTGTAGGCTACACGGGGGACCTTTGTCTCTGCGTGTCTCTTTATCGGTGTCGGTGTGCGTGTATTCGTGGACAAGGAGTGAGGATGGTAGGTGGCTGTGTGGACACTATTTTTAGTGCTTGGGGAGGGGGGGGCCTTGCAACTTCAGTGGGGGGCAGAGTGAATCGATGGGAGGGGGGCTTTGTAACTTCAGGGGGGGGGGCAGAGTCATCTATGGGAGGAAGGGCTTTGTAACTTCAGTGGGGGGGCAGAGTGACTCGATGGGAGGGGGGCTTTGTAACTTCAGGGGGGGGGCAGAGGGAATCGAGGGAGGGGGGGCGGGTTGAGGCGAGGGCAGTGAAGGAGCGTTTGCAGAGAATGGCAACAACGACACTTCACGGGCGGCGAGTCCTCAAGTGATGGACTAAAATAAACTACACCACCACCAGCACCACCACCAGCACCACCACCACCAGCACCACCACCACCACCAGCACCACCACCCACCAGCACCACCACCAGCACCACCACCAGCACCACCACCACCAGCACCACCAGCACCACCACCAGCACCACCAGCACCACCACCACCAGCACCACCACCAGCACCACCACCAGCACCACCACCAGCACCACCACACAGCACCACCACCAGCACCACCACCAGCACCACCACCAGCACCACCACCAGCACCACCAGCACCACCACAGCACCACCAGCACCACCACCAGCACGACCACCACCAGCACCACCACCAGCACCACCACCACCAGCACCACCACCACCACCAGCACCACCACCACCAGCACCACCACCACCAGCACCACCCCCAGCACCACCACCACCACCAGCACCACCACCACCAGCACCACCACCAGCACCACCACCACCACCAGCACCACCACCACCAGCACCACCACCAGCACCACCACCACCACCAGCACCACCACCAGCACCACCATCAGCACCACCACCAGCACCACCACCAGCACCACCACCAGCACCACCATCAGCACCACCACCAGCACCACCATCACCAGCACCACCATCAGCACCACCATCAGCACCACCACCACCACCAGCACCACCACCACCACCAGCACCACCAGCACCACCACCAGCACCACCAACACCACCACCAGCACTACCACCACCACCAGCACCACCACCACCACCAGCACCACCACCACACCACCAGCACCACCACCCCACCAGCACCACCATCAGCACCACCACCACCACCAGCACTACCACCACCACCAGCACCACCAGCACCACCATCCAGCACCACCACCAGCACCACCACCACCAGCACCACCATCAGCACCACCATCAGCACCACCACCAGCACCACCACCACCACCAGCACCACCACCAGCACCCACCAGCACCCACCAGCACCACCACCAGCACTACCACCACCACCAGCACCACCAGCACCACCATCAGCACCACCACCACCAGCACCACCACCAGCACCACCACCAGCACCACCAGCACCACCACCAGCACTACCACCACCACCAGCACCACCACCACCACCAGCACCACCACCAGCACCACCACCGCAGCAGCACCACCAGCACCACCACCAGCACCACCACCAGCACCACCACCAGCACCACCACCCAGCACCCCACCACCCCAGCACACCACCAGCACCACAACACCACCAGCACTACCCATCAGCACCACCACCACCACCAGCACCACCACCAGCACCACCAGCACCACCACCAGCACTACCACCACCACCAGCACCACCACCACCACCAGCACCACCACCAGCACCACCACAGCAGCACCAGCACCACCAGCACCACCAGCACCACCACCACCAGCAGCACCAGCACCACCACCAGCACACCACCAGCACCACCATCAGCACCACCACCACCACCAGCACCACCACCAGCACCACCAGCACCACCACCAGCACTACCATCAGCACCACCACCACCACCAGCACCCACACCACCACCACAGCACTACCATCAGCACCACCACCACCACCACCAGCAGCACCACCAGCACCACCACCAACCAGCACCACCATCAGCACCACCACCACCACCACCAGCACCACCACCAGCACCACCAGCACCACCAGCACCACCACCAGCACTACCACCACCACCAGCACCACCACCACCACCAGCACCACCACCAGCACCACCACCAGCAGCACCAGCACCACCAGCACCAGCACCACCAGCAGCACCAGCACCACCACCAGCACCACCACCACCACCAGCACCACCACCACCAGCACCAGCATCGCCTCTCACCCAGGGAGCGATTCGAGCCGCCGCTGCTGCCGCTGCTGTAGTGGTAGCCGAGTCCTAGGACGTGAACAGGTTGATCCCCGCTTTTAATTACGTTCGGGTAATTGGCTCAAACAAACCCAGGTCATTAACGCCCCCCCCTCCCAACGCGAATGGCTCCCAGGGTTCACATCGGGCGTCTGTTTTGTTTCAGCATCTCCAGCCAGGGAAAGGGGGTTCTCCTGGTTCAAGTAAGAGACATTCATTGTAACGCGGTGGTTTGTAGTGAACTCCGAGGCTACGAATATATTCGCAGTATACATCAATGACACAATAGGGCGGCAAGGGATATACACATCGTCCACGATTATGCAGGAATTCTTCCATCAAGAGCTGTGTGGTCCAGGGTTAGGGTTACTACTGCCGTACAAACTCGAGACGTACGGATGAATTGTCAGGATTGGTTAACAGCGTAGACAAGCAAACAATGCGTTTCCCTCCATCGCTGTGCCCGTCTCTCCACACAAACAAATGTAGAGTACTGTTTTGTTTTTACACAAGCTATGGGAGGACATTCCAGCAGCGTTCACGATCGCTCCGCTGAACAAAAATAGATCCGCGGTTCCGTTTTCAGGTACGAGTTCGCGTTTTAAGTCGATGTCAGAAAATAAATAAATATTTCCTGGCAGCTGGTTCGCATAGCTGTGAACCCGTACGGTTTACCCCGTATTCTTGTGCAGGGAAATTGAGTTTTCAGGCGTACAACCGTTTCAATAGGGGCTAACAACAAAACATTTGTCTGTGTTTACTCCCTTGAGATGGGACTGTGTAGGATGAACGTTGAGATGTATAAGGGGCACGGGGTGACCAATAATGTCTGATTGGTCTGTAACGAGGTAGGGCACTGATAGGGGTTGACAGGAAGGGGTCGTGTGGGTGTTTGTAAGTCGATGTCTGCACACGCAAACGCACGGTGACTCCTCAGAATCAATTGCTGCCAGATGTCACCAGCATGATTTGATTACAAAATATATAACTATAAACTCTTTTGTCTTGTACTGACTCGTTTTTTAAATAGTCTGATTTGTCCGAAGTGGTCACGACTGTACGGTCCGTTCTCTTTAAGATGTTTTTGTTCATGTTTTAGTAGTTTTTTGTTTGTTGCGGTTGCACCCGATTCAAGAGCCGAATGGCTCACAGGGCTCTACCTAATAAATGAACTTGAACTTGAACTCTACGGTTTCGCATCATTCTACTGGCTGGTGAGTCGAGTTTTGTCTGTACCCTGCAGATTGTATTGTTTGACTCGTCCGAGAAAGAAATAAAAAGAACAGGCTGCTCCTACACACGTGTACGAGCGTGGTAAGAACCAACGTGAATCGATCAATAATTAACGTGAGGAGCCCGTTACTTCTACAGAACTATACTAATAATCTAATAATGTCAATCTTTAAAGTTGTACAAATGCAGAGCACGCGGCGGCCAGCGGGTGGCGTGCGACACACTCCACGTGGCGACGGGAGGGAAGTGAATTTTAATATTCACGCGCGTGACAAAGACTACGATACTAATAGGGGTTTCCCCCTTTATTCTGGCAACAAAACTGACACCTTTTGCAAGGAATCACGTTTACATTAACCACAATACTTGCAGTCAAATGCAAACAAAAAACAATACTCTGATAATTTATGCATTGTCCTTGAAACTGATTGGTCCACACCAGAGACAGCTTTCTTTAGAGCCTAGTCTCATAAGGCGCACGCCTTTTGGCGTCATCTGGTCGAACACCATATGAGACTAGGCTCTAAAGAAAGCCATCTCTGGTGTGGACCAATCAGTTTGAAGGACAATGCATAAATGATCAGAGTATTGTTTTTTGTTTGCATTTGACTGCAAGTATTGTGGTTAATGTAAACATGATTCCATGCAAAAGGTGTTAGTTTTGTTGCCAGAAAAAAGGGGAAACCCCTATTAGTATATTTTTGGTACTGGCAAAAGACAAAGATGCCCCGTGTAGTCCGAACAGACTTTTTGGAGCAAGTGCTGCTGTTAGAGAGTAACCCCTCTGAAGGTCGTCACGTGACACAAGAGGGTTGGTGGGTGGCCAGCACCACGCCAGTTGCGATGTTACTAAGTTGAGGCTGAGTAGACCTAGGAGAGGCCCAGTCAGGACCGGTTCAGATAATCGTCACTGGTGTTGGTGGCCGTGAGCGGGAATCGAACTGGGGTTCGCCTGGTTCGTAGCGCAGCACGCTAACCGCTGCGCCACCGCTCCCCCTCCCCCATGTTCACGCGCGCGAGAAGCGAGTGTCACGCGCAGGGCGTGCTGGGAGGGCCTCGCGTCGCGGTTTGAGTGACAGCAACAACAACAACACAACAGCAACACAACAATAACAAAACAACAACACAACAACACAATAGCAAAAAAACACAACAGCAACACAACAATAACATAACAACAACACAACAGCAACACAACAGCAACGCGACAGCAACACAACAACACAACAGCAACACAACAACACAACAGCAACACAACAACATAACAGCAACATAACAACAACAGCAACATAACAGTGGCGCAACATGGATGTGGCTGAATATGCACGTAGCGTTCCGACCCCGTGTCCCGACTGGACACCGGTGAAGAAGAATAAGAAGAATAGCTTTGTGGCTCATCGGATTCCTCCTGCAGTCGAGATGAATGTTCTGATTCTGCATAGTAGGCACGTGGAAGATGACCGGTGTGCTCTGAAGAAGGGTCATTGCTCGAATCGTCGCCTATTTTTTTTATCCCTTTCATTGGTCACGGAGTCATCGACGCATCGTTCAGAGATTCTGCTCATCACCGCGCCACTGCCACAACAGCAACACAACAATAACAAAACAACAACACAACAGCTATAAAAACGAGTTCACATTTGGAGGTTGCCACCGGCACGCCATGGTCCCTACTCTCGTCTTTAACGTCTCCACTGCGAGTGAGGTGGGCTGCCCGTGGCACGGTTCGTATTATCAAGGATCTTATTACACCCGCACGGATAGCCGAGGGCTACCGTACACGTTTGCGACAGGCGGCGAACCCAAATTGATAAGCAGAATATTTCGTTGTACTGGAGGAATCCGATGAGCTATGAAGCTCTTTTGCACAGATGTCCTGTAAATGTAAACACCACGCGTGCCCACGTGACCGTGCGTGCGTGGCCCGGCTAAACACAACAACATCATCGCGAAGTGCAACGAGGTGCATGCAGTCAAACACTCGCCGTTTCTTCTTGGTCGCCTTCTTGTGCCCGCTCTTCTTCAACGTCCTGGGAGCCATGCCGCAGCCTCCTGCTCGCAGTCTCCACGGCGACTGGCCACTCTGCTGCTTGAACGACTACACGATTCTATAGAGGGCGTCCGCTGTTGTTCTAAAGCCGTGGTTATTAGCCTCTACTGTAGCCTTTGGGTTCTCAATAGTAAAACAATATGTTCATAGCTACACAGGGGTTTGATGAAACAGAGTCAGTTGTACTTGCGTGCCCGTGCCGAATTTGTGTTTTCCGATTATTTAGCTTCTAAAAAAGAATCTGTCCATGTCTTAAAGTATGTCCCCGCATGTTACACAACGGACGACGTGAGTGTGTTACGCCGCTACTCTGGCGTGCGTGTATGGTGCACTATCGCTTCTCCAAACCCAGCACCGGAGCGGAGCCCACAAAGACGACAACCTCCACGGAGCCCCTCTTCATCTTCATCATCGCATCGCAGCGCTCCACGTGTTGTGTGCATTACGTCACCACTTAGCAACCGCGCACACACGCGCACACGCGCACACACAAACACGCGCTGAAAGGACGTCATTCAAGGGACTTGTTTGCTATGTTCAAGCTTCTAAAATCAACATTGGGCATCTTGGCGTGGCAGCAAAGGTGGCAATTGTTGGCCAAATACCCCAATGCGGGGATCTCCTAGAAAAAAAAAAAAAGCTGAGCAGAAACTCATCGCGAGTGAGACTTTACAGGGCTCAGGGCATTATTAATAGAGTTGTGTGCGCTAATACAGTGGGGATCAGGGCTTCATTTCAGATGGAGCAGGCCAGGGTTGAGCTCCAGAAAATACCCCCCCCCCCCTCGCTATCGGTGGGGGGGTTCAACAACTATCTCGTGAGAAATAAAGCAGCCCTGGTGGTGACCGTGCAGGCGAAATCCGATGAGCTATGAAGCTCGTTTTCACAGGTGTCCAGTGGGGGCAGGTCAGAATAATCCAACAAACATATCAAATCATGATAGGAGTGCCAAGTACGGTACAGTATAGGAAGGGTTTCTCTGTGTGCCTATGTACGTGTCTCTCTCTATGTATCTCTGTGATGTATCTCTCTGCTTATATGTCTGTCTATATGTCTCCAGTTCTGTGTTTTATCTCCCTCTCAAATTTAGCATTCTCTGGAAGAACGTAATCAACCAGGTAGGGTGTTGACTGTTATGTTAGCCGACTCTCTGTGTTGTATCGCATTACATTTCTAAGTATACTAGGTTTGTTTTCTATTTCATTTATACCTGATGATGATTGCTTGTGTTGCAATCGAAACGTCGTATGCTAGTATTTAAGTTATTATTTTCTCTTTATACGTGACTTTACCGAAAGAACCAAAGAGTAATTCCTGCAGTCACGAAAGCTCCAAATTAAATATGAAGGGTAACCAAATCACAAAACAAAGTGTATTGTCCAGAGAGACAATGGGGCTGAGACTGCCCCTAGGCAGGATGTGGACTGGAGACGTTGACATTTGGACGACCGTGCTCCGTGAAAGCAGTCAGACCACGTGGTGGGCGGTGCAGTGGGCACAGTGGTGAGCACACCCACGACCCCCTGCGACGTCGGTTCGACTCCTGGCCACGGCTGCCATCAGTAGCAGCGAGTGACGCCTCAAGGCGGCCCGGCGTGCCCGCTGCACCAACGGGTTCGAAGCGGCGTGGTCAAGAAGTGGGCAAACAGCCCCCTCCTCCACGGCTGCTGACACAGCATGGGGGAGATCCTCGTCCGGCAGGAGGCCACTTTGCCAAGGGGCTTCTCAACTGTTCGCGTGAATTGTTATCGTTCGGCAATTAGGGTTTTTCGATTCCACGCACCATATTCGAACAGCACTTTGCGTTGTTCCGTCTAGACTCTAGAGGACTCGCTGGCCACGACAACCCACGTGACAGCACGAATGGCATTGTTCTACCAGGTACCCTCTGCCTCCAAAGACAACGATCCCCCGTGTAGCCTCTTAACAGACTGTTGGGGCAAGCGCTGTGAGCGAGCAGAACCTATGAAGGCCGATTGGCTGTGGTGGCCAGCACCACGCCCGACACACACGCGCACACACACATCTTCGCATTAAGCAAATGGGCGTGTGTTGGGGGTCTTCATTAAGTATTGATTACATTCTACTGTTTCCTTTCCTCGCTGTCTACTCGCGCTCGCCGTTCTCCACCTGTGCCACACGAGACGCAGCAGCAGAGCGAGAGGCGAGGCAGAGCGAGAGGCCAGGGGGCCGCCTACGGGGAGCGACTTCGCGTGGCGTCGTGATGGAGGGGCAGAGTCGGCGAGGGAGCCTTGCCGCCTCGCCGGTGACGGGCAGGCGGGCAGCCCGGACGGCTACAGAGCTCGTGATGAGCCGCTAGAGAGTTGGAGCCCCGTGGAGTCTGTTGCCGTTCTTCTCGCGTGTGGCACGCGGTGCGTTCTCGTGTTCGGACTGATGCTCAGACTGCGCGTTCGCTTTACGGATTAACTTTATAAAAACGTAATTGTCTTTGTATAAACTTCAATACCGTTGCTGTCATTAGAGTTGAAGGCATTCATAATGCTGATTGTTTCCGTGAGATGTCTACGCACAGCTGTGAGACGATGCGATCTTAAGCTTCGTTGCAATGAGTAGCAGCGAGCGGCGCTGTCCACTGGGCTACTCGGTCACTCGGCTTTACACTTCGGTAGAAACAGCGTCGTTTCCTGGGCCTGGCGTACACCTTGCTTGCTTGGGGGCAGGTTTTCGACAGCTTGCTTGGGGGCAGGTTTTCGACAAATATCCACCCCTTGCCAGCTACAACCGGGAAGTAGATTTCAACGGAGTCCACGGCACGGATCAACTTCGCAGTGTTTTCCTTCCTTCGGCACGCCAGTAACTGGGACGAAGCTCCACAGCTCTTCCATCACGGGGAAACTTCTTCCAGGTACAAAACACGACTCCAACGCAGATGGGGCAGGCGGAGCGGACCGGTTCGTAGATCCAACCGTGCCCCGTGTCCCGTGGCGCGCGCAGGCCGACGTGGGGGACTACGAGGCGGTGGCGGCGGCTTGCAGCGGCGTCCCCTGCGTGCTCCACACGGCCTCCTGCGGCATGCCCGCTCGCGAGCAGGTACTGTCCCACCGGGGTTACCGACAATCCCACGGAAACCGTTCGCAGACACGAGAGGATCTAATGCGCACTCCACAGGTGTAGCAACGATGTAAGCTGCTTTAAAGCTTTCGTGACTGCAAGGATTCATACTCTTAGTTCTTTAGGTAAAGTCACGTAGGTAAAAAATTAAATTAAAATAAAAAAAAACAATAAAATCCACTTGATACAGATTTTTTGCTGTGACAGTTTCACCTGAAGACGGAAGCTTGCGTTGCCTCCGAAACGTCGTGATTTTATTGTTTTTTTAAAATAAATTTTAATTTCATTTTTTACCTACGTGACTTTACCGAAAGAACTAAGAGTATGTAAGCTGCTGTCGCATCGCACCGGAGTATCATGTCCACACGCAACTGTTGTTCAGATATCTCATCGTTAACATAGTGCACCTGGAAGAGTCCCTTGCGATGGAATAGCTCGCTTGCGAGGGTGTCCAGGGTGTCGATTGATGGGCGCATTAGCAAACGCTGGAATGGCACGTGCACATAAGGATTTGAAATATATAACCTATACACGTTAAACACATTATTTGGTGATGCTGTTGCTTTGGCAGTGGTGTACAAGCACAATTAACAACAACAACCTCAACACGTTTGTCAATAATACTGCGTGGATTTTTCGATTTAAAGCTTTCGTGACTGCAGGGATTCATCTTCTTGGTTCTTTCGGTAAAGTCACGTAGAAGGGAAATAATAAAATAATAAAAATAAAACATAATAAAATAATTCTCACGACGTTTCGGCCACAACGCAAGCAGCCGTCCTCAGGTGAAGAACAGGTCTGTCGGGAAGACAGCGTCTGAATGAAACACCCCAGGCTTGGAGCGTCTATTTAATCTGGGTTGGAGGGGAAAGCGCGCCTTGACAAAATAATTTGCATATCAAGAGAAATTTAGCATATTTATGGGAAATGCAGATATGGGATTAGTACTACTTGTGAAATGCGTAGGAGGTGGGTGGGGGGTTTCAAAGTCATATTATGCCCGTGCATTATGCAGGATTAGCAGCATCTGTTATTGTGTGGCGCGTGAGCACAGCGACACCAAAGACAACTGATGTCACCGTGCTGTCACTCATACTTGTGCATTCCTGTCACTGCAGTGACCTCACTGAAGTGCCCGAGACCACGATTGTATTGTCTCTGTTTCATTCATGGAGCCTCAAACCATTTTCAGAGCAAGGGACACACAGCTGAGGGAGATATAAACGGGCTGACAGAGCTGAAACATTGTATTTTGGGTCGCATAAACCTTGAACAGAGAAAGCTGCAAGTTACTGTAAATGGAAAATACCCTGGCGTTCCAACAGCACCGAGCCAATTCACATCGTAAGAAAACGAGGAAGAAGACTGAGAGCGCTCGTGGAAAGGGGTGGTGAACGATGATGACGAATGGGGTCAAAGTTAGTGTAACTGTCAGGACTGTTCTGCATGCTTCTCGTTTCAAGTGTCACGTGATACTGCTCATTACTCAACTTTGTTGGAGTCGTGTTCTGTGCAGCGGTTGTAGTGTGCGTGTGTGTGTGCGCGTGTCTCTCTTTGTGCCTGTGCGCAGGGTGTGCAAGCGCATTCTATTAATGACGGAGAGCAAGTGAACGTGTTTCAATGGCTGCAACCGCTGGTTTGTCTACGAGTTTGTATTCGTTACGATAACTATCATCATTGCCACTGCAAATCACACCATTGCCATCACCCCCACACACACACACATTACTACCACACATACACCACCCATACCATCATTATTATGTATTAGTATCACCAATCAATAATGCCAATACCCACCTATTTCGCCATAAAGTAACGGTGACGTCACCACGGCGCCTGTGCCAGGCCAGGTGCACTTTGAGGCCACGTGAAGTGTCGAAGGCTCGCCGACAGATCTCTGGACAGACCCAGCAGGTTCCATGGGTTGGCTGACTGAGATGACCGATATATGCACCAGCTGTACCCCCTTCTGTGCCAGCCTAGGTGCAGGAGGTCACGGGACAGACCCAGCAGGTTCCATGGGTTGGCTGACTGAGATCATTGGTAGATACACCAGTTGTACCACCTGCTGTGTCAACTAGAATCACCACCAATACCGACACCACCACACTCATCACCACCACCAAGACAAGCGTCATCATTACCACCGTCATGTGATTCAGCAATATTTGGGAGGGAGGGTGACGAACTCTATTAAATGTATATCACCTGTGCTCACTATCTGCCTCACCCATGTCAATCACGTGTATAAAGCGGTGCTGGTCATTCATGCTCAGGCAATGCTTCTGTTTAACAGTTTGAGAAGCTTGGGCACAGCATGCCTCGGACATGCG